GCTGGTGGTGACTGGAGTTGGCAGGCTGACACCGGCTGCTTCATGGGGCAGCGAGCCGTCCCCCGGGACTGGGCAGCCTAGGTGCCCGCAGGCTCTTTAACCTCTGTGTGTGGGGTGCTTAGCTTATTCTGCAGGGTCAGCTTGTTCTGCGGGGTCCCTTGGCAGCAGTGACAGAAGCACAGGGCTGGTGAGAATGAATGATAAAGCTTTAATCGTGGCAAAGCCCACAGGTTCAGAGTCTGGACAGTTTTCAAAGTGCCCCTTGGAGAGGAGCGGAGCTCGGGGTTCAGGAAGAGGAAAGCGGTGACCGGGCGGCTTCCGTGGGGCCTCTGCCCTTGGACTGCAGCAACGACGTGGTGGTGGCGGTCTCAGTTGTCCACCTTGGTAGGAATGGGCTTCCTTTGCAAATGTGACCCCAGGCTTTTAAAGAAAAGAGAGAAAGAGTAAAAACAAAAACAAAACTGGCTCCAGGTAACAAGATTTTTCAGGGAAAAGACCTGGTGGGGAGCAGAGGGCATTGAAGGAGAGGAAGCCCCTCCGGGGGGTGTTGCCCCGAGATGTTAGCAGTGGACCTGGGCACACGGAGGTCACGAGGGTGCAGCAGGATTGGCTTGAGTTTCCTTCTCTTACTTGGGGTCCTTGGAAGTCAGAATTGGCTCAGCGGCCCCCAACAACAATAGTGTGTGCTTCCCAGAACGGTCTTAATAGCTAGATGTGGTGAACTCTGATGGCCTAGTGGCAAGAAGCTGCACTGCAATCCCAGAGGTGCACTGTTCGAATTCACCAGATGCTCTGCTGGAGAAGGAGGATCAATCTCCTCCTGTACCAGTCAGATCCGATTTCACGGTACAAATATACACAATAAAATTTTAAAGAAAAGCTAGACACACGATGTCATCGGCCGACCACCTTGTGTTTCCCACACATCGGGCCCTCGGGACCCTTGGCGCCCAGGTTCCGAGCCTGTGGAGCGAGAAGCTCCCCGACAAGTGGCTGGCCAGGGAGTGGCGAAGGGCTGTGAGTGCTTCACACCACTAGACCCTGCTCTCTGGCTCTGTCCACTCGGCGACACGTCATTCAGCAGCCTTGGGAGGCTGTAAATCACAGGAGGGAGTTGCCCTCCTTTCCCCATGGATCCACTGGGGGGGTTCAGACCTCCACACAGGTGCCCCTTTGGGCTGGCAGTACAGCTCTGTCCACCACCTGTCCACAGAACACCACATGTCCCCGAATGCAAAGAGCTTGTTGAGAAGCTAAAACTATAACAAGTGGAAATGCAAGTGTTCTGCTCCCAAGAAGAAAAGCGTTTGGTTCAAAAGAGCCGCCGGCACGCCTGTGGCCCCCGCCGTGTGTCCTGACCCAGCGAACCCCGGGCCACCCCAGGGAGCAGACCATGCCTGCTCGTCCAGAGGGAGGAACACTGATCACGTGGAGGTGCTGGCGAGCACTGCAGAGGTGACACGCCGCTTCCGGTGAAGGAACCGTGTGCATCGGCTGGGAAGCAGGAGCTTGGGCATGGGGGGTTCACCCTGGACTCCAGCCAGAAGTCTCCTCACGTGAGCGTGTTGTCCGGGATGCTCTTCAGCTGTCATTCAGACACCCCAACCCCAGCATGCATTGCAGGGCCTGTGAGTGCTGAGAGGGGCATGTCCACACACCCGCTCAGCTGCCCATGTACAAGTATGTCCATACACACGATCACACACACATGCAGGACAGCTGCACACGTGTGAGCCTGTGTACATCTTTATATGCACACACGTGTGTAAAACACTCATCACGCCTGTACACCTTGACCTCACTGTCCATATGTTATACTTGCATCCGTGTGTGTGTATCCACATGTACACGTACTTGATTGCATACACATAGTAACCACCTGTGTACACGTTTGATCACATCTACAATACGCCCATTTATATGTATGTGTGCGCATGTGCACCCATTTATACGTCCACGTGTATTACCACACTGTGATCACATCTGTACTTATGCATTATCTCATCTACACCTGTTTTCAATCTATATGCTGAACAGATCATTCAAGAGGCTGAACTTTATGAGGAGAAATGTGGCCTCAGGTTTGGAGGAAGACTCATCAACGACCTGCGTTATGCAGATGGCACAACCCTGCCTGCAGAAACTGAGGAGGACCTGAAGCGCTTGCTGCAGAAGGTCAAGGACTGCAGCCTACAATACGGATTGAAGCTCAACATCAAGAAAACAAAAACTCTCAGTTGGCAGCACCATGATAGATGGAGAAGAGATTGAGGTTGTTGACAATTTCAGCTTGCTTGACTCCACAGTCAACACTCTTGGAACCAGCCGTCAGGAAGTCAAAGACTAATGTTGTTGTTGTTGTTGTTGTTATGTGCTGTTGAGTCACTTGCAACTCACTGAGACCTGACAGAGTGTGGAAATTATTGAACAATATCGTTGATACCACATGCAAGATTCTGCTGAAGATTATTCAAAAATGACTGGAACAGTGCATCAGCAGAGAACTGCTAGAAGTGCGGGCTGGGTTTAGAAGAGGCCATGGTACTAGGGACATTATAGCTAATGTTAGATGGATCTTGGCTGAAAGCGGAGAATACCAGAGCAATGTCTGTCTGCGTTTCATTGACAATGAAGAAGCATTTGACTGTGGATCACAGCAAACTGTGGCTGACTCTGAGAGGAATAGGAACCCTAGAACACTTGATTATGCAAAACCTATACTTGGACCAGGAGGCAGTCATCAGAACTGAGCAAGGAAACACTGCATGGTTCAAAATCAGGAAAGGTGAACACCAGGCTTGCATCCTATCTCCATAGCTTTTCAATCTATATATGGAACAGATTATCCTGGAGTCTGGGCTCTATGAGGAGAAATGTGGCATCAGGATTGGTGGTTGATTCATCAAAGACTAAAAAGCATTAGGAAAATCTGCTGTCAGGGACCTCTCCAAAGTCCTGAGAAACAATGAGGTGTCCAGAGACCAAAGTGGGCCTGATCGAGGCCATGGTCTTCTCAATTGCTTGCTATGTATCTGGGAGCTGGACAATGAATAAGGATGACAGAAGAAGAATTGATGCCTTTGAGTTGTGATGTTGAAGAGTATTGATCATTCCATGGACTGCCAAGAGAGTAAACAGGTTTGTCCTGGAGAGGTCTGTGAAACCACGCTGCTCCCTGGAGGCAAAGACTTTGAAGTTCTATCTGACATACTTTGAGCATGTTACCTGGAATGATCAGTCCTTGGAGATGAGCATCATTCTTGGAAGGGTGGAGGGATGGCTCAGGAGAAGAAGACCCAGAAGGAGATGGATTGACTCAGTGACCGAGATAACGGGGCCAGGAATGTCAGAGACTCTAAGACTGGCTCAGGATGGAGCAGGTGTCAGAACTATTATACGTAGGGTTGCAGGCGACGCGATGGTACATCACACCACCTGTTTGTGCATATGTGTCCACACACATGCACGTATACACGCATTCACACAAGTGCACACATCTGTACACAGTCACGGCCGTGCAGACACCCAGCTGTGTCTGTGTGCTCTCATGCACACGTGCCCACAGCGTGCACATGGGAGCACACATCCTCACGCTCGTCCGCACAGGCACGTGTGCACACCCACTCGTTCCTGGCAGCATCCTGACCTCTGTTACCGCTGTTCGTGTGGCCCCACCTCCTGTTCTTCCCTTTTGTTGCTACACTTTTGTCAAGCGGAAGTGCTTGGTGTTTCTGACGTGGAAGCATTTTTAATCAGCCGCCTCCGGATGCTCACACGGGTCTGTCCTGTGCAGCCCGACTCCGGGGCTCATGCAGGCTGGCTCAGAACCCCTGGGACGTGGATGCCTGCTGCTCAGGCCCCTTAGTTCAGGGATGTGCGCGCACACCTTCCGTCATGCTCTGGTACCTGAACACTGAAGGCACTCCGTGCGATGCTGTCAGGTGCAGGCAAGTCGGCTGTGACTCACAGCAACCTGTGAGGACAGATCTGACTCCTCTGCCGGCCGCCCTCTCGGTCTCCAGCGTGCCTCATTGCGTTGTCAGGGTCACTGTGTCACTCCATCTCGCTGAGAATCTTCTTCTTTCTCAGACCTTTCCCAGCACGATACCTTTTCCCCCAGAACTGGCCTCTTCTGACAACTTTCCGTGTGAGGTGTGGTTTCACCGTCCTTGCCTCTAGGGAGCCCCCTGGTTGCATTTCCCCTGAGACAGACTTGCGTCTTCTTTTGACAGTCTGTGTGATGGTTAGCACTCTTCTCCAAAACCAGTCAGAGGAATTGATTCTCCGTCATTGTCCAACTTTCAGATGCATAGTAAGCAGCTGAAAAGACCAGAGCACCAGTTCAGCAAAGTGGTAAGATACAAGAGCAACATACAAAAATCAGTTGGAGAGGGAGCTCTGGTGGCCTAGTGACAAACAAACTGCACTGCAATCCTGAAGGCGCGTGGTTCTAATCCACCAGATGCTCTGCTGGAGAAGGAGAGACAATCTCCTCCTGTGCCAGTTGGATCCGATTTGACGGTACACAACAAGAAAAAAAATTTTAAAAAATAAATTGAATTTTTCTACAGTGACAAAGAGAATACAGAACTGGAGCTAAGAAAAGCAATCAATACCCATCACAATAACTAATCACTACATTAAATACTTGGGAGCAAATCTAACTAGAAACACAGAAGCTCTATTCAAAGAAAATTACAAGAATCAAAAAGAGACCTGGAGAAATGGAAGAATATATCATGCTCTTGGACAGAAAGACTCAATATTGTGATAATGACAATTCGCCTTTGCAATTGCGTGCTATGCATCAGAGAGTTGGACAGTGAATAGGGATGATAGAGAATTGATGCCTTTGAGCTGTGGTGCTGGAGAAGAGTGCTGAATATATCATGGACTGCTAGGAGAACAAACAGGTTTGTCTGGGAGAAGGTGAAGCCGGAATGCTCCTTGGAGTCAAGGATTCTGAAGCTTCATCTGACATACTGTGAGCATGTTGCAAGGAGGGACTGGTCCTTGGAGAGGGACATCATGTTTGGGAGAGTGGAGGGCAGTAGAGGAAGACCCTCAATGAGATGAATCGATTCTGTGAGTGGAGTGGTGGGAATGAATGTGTTGAGATGGCGAGGTTGGCACAGGATAGAATGGCGTTCAGGGCTCTTGTACATACGGTCGCTATGAGTCACAAATGACTTGATGGCACATTACAACAACAACAATGATATGTCTGATAAGGGATTTATATCTAGAATTTATAGAATACTCCAGCACCTCAACAAGATAAAGGTAAATAACCCAATTGCAAAATGGGCACAGGATATGAACAGACACTTCACTAAAGAAAACATTCAGAGGACAAACATGAAATTTTCAAAATCCCTAGCTCTAAGAAAGATACAAAGCAACTACATCATCTCACCCCAATAACAATAGCAAAAGTTCAACAGAACAGCAAACAACAAATGCTGGCAAAGTTGTGGAGAAACTGGAACCCTTATTCACTGATAGTGGGAGTGTAAAATGGTGCAATCACTCTGGAAGGCAGTATGGCACTTTCTCAGAAGGCTGGAAATAGAAATACAATTTGACCCAGCAATTCCACTACTGGATATATACCATAAAGAAACCAGAACTGCCACCCAAACATGCACACCCATGTTTATTGCTGCATTGTTCATAATAGCAAAGAGATGGAAACAAACCAAGTGCCCACCAACAAATGGATAGAGAAGCTGTGGTGTATTCACACAATGGAATACTATGCAGCACTGAAAAATAAGGAACTCATAAAATACTATACAAAATGGGTGTCCCTGGAGCACATTATACTGAGTGCAATATCTCAGTCATAAAAGGACAAATACTGGATAATGCTACTGTTATAAAACAGGACTGATATGAGAGTTGGGGAAAACTAAGAAAAGGGGATAAATAATGTACACTGCATTGAAACAGATGAGGGAAAGAACTGTTTAAAAGGAATATGTTGTTGTTGTTGTTGTTGTTATGTGCCGTCGAGTCGTTTGCGACTCATAGTGACCCTATGCACAACAGCCCTAAACCCTGCTCTATCCTGCGCCAACCGCACTGCCTCTGACACACCCATCCCTAGTACCCCAGTCACCGAATCAATCTGTCTCATAGAGGGTCTTCCCCTCCTGCGCTGTCCCTCCACCCTCCCAAACATGATGTCCCTCTCCAAGGACCCGTCCCTCCTGGCAACATGTCCAAAGTATGTCAGACGAATATGATTAGGTATTATTTACATGACAACAGTCCAAAATAAGAGCTGCATAGCAAAGTGGACTGGGGTGGGGGAGGAAGGAAATTGTGTAACAATGAAAGAGGTTTTCTTTTACAAAGAAGAGCAAATTGGGGTGGGGATAGGGAGGAAAATGTGCAACAATGAATCAGTGAAAATCCAAGTTTTCTGTAAACTTTCATTAACATTTCAATTAAAAGAGAAGACAGCAGCTTGGGTCTGCTGCACCTTAGTCCTCACGTTTTCATCATTGCTCTTTCATGATGAGAAAGTGCAGCGGGAGTGCAGAAACTCCCCCAGCTCCCATGCTCCTGGGTTTGTGGCCTTCACTCACCATCTCCCCTCCATGTCTCCGGATTAACATCCCCCTCCCCCCAGTGTGACCTCGTGTGACCTGCTAACCCTTTCACAGCTGCAGGGGTAAAGATATCAACCTGTCTGTCTGGGACACAGTCCGTAACAGCCAGGATGAGATAGATGTGGTCAGAGGAGCTGAAACCCTGGCCCTGAGAGCAGTGTAGCCTGGGGTGAGGGACCTGGTGCTGAGCCCCTCCTCTGAACACCTGTGTTCTCTTTGTCACTCGCCCCACCACACCCCCTGCTATCCAGTCCACTCACACTGACAGCCTTCCCGTAGGGCGGCATAGCCGGCCCACGGTGTATCCACCAATGTGAGAGGGTTCAAACAGCTCAACTTTCAGCCAATTTCTTGATCCACAACCCCACCAGCCCTCCTTAAAGTCCACAGCGCCCTGGACTCGTAGACCATTCTGTACACGCACTTGCCAGACCCAACTCTGCTTAGCATCCAAGGTCATGCTCGGTCAGCTTGTCCAGGGTGGAGGTGGTGGGCTCACGGTCAGTGGAGGGGGTTGGTCTCTGATCATGGCATTCAGCCCTGTGGCTCGTACACAGCTGGCCGCCGGCAAGGCACCTGGTGCCCACGCTTTGGTGTCCTCTTCTGTGGACGGAACGGCGGGCACTCAGTGTGAGTTCCTGCCTCCCCTGCCCATGACTGGCCGCACTGCCCTCTCCCTGCTTTCCCTGCCTGGCCTCTGGTGGCCAGAGTTGCCTCTGCTGACAGCTGACCCGGGAGGGTGTGACAGGGAGCTGACTGCAAGGAAGTCAACGCCCAGCCGCGGCCTTGTCCACTGTGTCCTGCACAGGTGACCCCCGAGCACTCGGCCCTGCTTACCTGGGGCCTCGGTGTGTCTCTGTCATCACTCTAGTAGTAGCAGTATGTCCCTACACAGATGAAGTGGGGGCCTCACGCAGCCCAGGGCACTTGCCCGGCCTCCTGGCCAGGCTGATGTTGCCAGCATTGAGTCCTCAGGCCCCTTTGGGCACCAGCCTTGGTCTGCGAGATGAGACCTCCCTCCCGTGGGCTGCTCCTGCTTCCTGGAGGTTCGGGGTGTCCCATCCTAAGGGAGGGCGAAGAGTGGGGGAGGCAGGCGTATCGTCAACCCATTCGTCCTGAGGCCTTATACAAGTCTGTACTTTTTTTCCTTGTCGTGTACCGTCAAATCAGATCCAACTGGCACAGGGGATGGTTGCTTCTCCAGCAGAGCATGTAGTGAATTTGAACTGCATGCCTTTGAGATTGCAGTGCAGCTTTTTGCCACTAGGCCACCAGAGCTCCCTAACCTATAATTTTTTGGTGTGACCGTCACACAGAAGCCAGCAAGGTGGGGGTGGCATCTGAGGTCATGTGCTCAGGACTTGGGAAGGGGGAGGGGAGGGAGAGAAGACGAGGCTGTCCCAGGGTGTTCAGGGTGTTTGGCCTTCCACCCCCGCCTTGCCATGTTGGCAGCACCCATGTCCCCTCATTGACCAGGGCTTTGCTCCGAAGGGCGTGGGCAGCTGTAGCCTGGTCCTGGCCCATCCTAACCTAGCCTGGTTTCCCAGCAACTCTGGCACTGACAGCAAGGGCATGGGGCACCATCCACTGTGGCGACCTCAGGGCCAGCGGGTTGCCTGTCCTCAGCCTGGGCACCTGACCGTCCCCACAGCAGCATGGAGTAGGAGCAAGCAGAGCCGGAAATGAGGCCCAGAGAGGTGCTTACCGCCCTGGCCTCTTGGCAGGGAATGGGTCTGGGCAAATGGGGCCCACCCCTGAGCGCCCTCCCCCCAGAATTGCACACCACCCCCAAATTACAAAGGTGGCCTAGAGGTAGCTAGTGCCGAGAAACGAAAGGCGTGTCGTTTCAAACCCTGAAACCACAGCCCCGACCCTCGCCACGGGTCCCTGCTCCTGCCTCCCTGCCTCGTGACTGAGGAAAAACACGGCCGTGCTGATGCAGTTAGGAAAATGTTATCTTTCCAACGCTGCCAGGTCCCGGGTTGACCTGCTGCCTGGGAGCAGCACACAGGGCTGGCCCTCTGGAGACTCTGCTGGGACGGCCTGTCCAGCTCCGAGTGGCGAGGGACAAGGGTGTCCATGCCTGCCTGCTGCCTGGGTTGGGCTTGCAGGTGCCCAGTGGGGGCTCCAGCCATGCGATTTCCTTTCTCAATTGGAGGGCGTTCCAGTGGGCGCCTGGGTGTCATGCCGGGCACTTGGACTGCAGTGTGCAGGTGAGTGTCATCTCCCGGGCACATCACCACCCTGACCCAGGACAGAGGGCCTGAGGGGTCAGCAGAGACTGGCCAGCCTTCCCAAGCCTCCCTCACCCCACCCACTACTCCTATGGCATGAACTCTGAGCAGGAAGGAGACCCACTGTACTTCTGCTTGTCGTGATTGGCTTGAGAGGGCCTGGGGGGCTGTTCCGGGATTCTGTCCTTCCTGAGGCCGAGGGCAGAGCTGGACGGCGGAACCTGCCAGGGATCTATCTGCCCTGCTGAGGGTCTCGCTTCTTAGGGCAGATGAAGGGGGGTGACAGTCTGGAGGCTGCAGCTGTGGGGAGAAAGCCTGCCTTGTGCACATGCACTGTGACCCAGGGCCAGGAGCTTGGGGTGGCATTTGGGGGCAGGCCCCCCCAGAATCTGGCCTGAGCTGCCTCTGTCCCTGCCCCCAATACCATCTGAGTTTCAGGGGCAGCCTGTCCTGGGCTGATGGGTGGTCTATGATGATTTCAGGGATATTGGCCTTGATCTCAGGGGTGGCCATCAGTGACCTTGGGGACAGTCTGGGATGTCCTCCAGAATAGTCCATGATGACCTCAGGGAATGTCTGCGATGACCATGGGAGTGGTCGACCCTGACCTCTGAGGTGGTCTACACTGACCTCAAGCCCAGCAGGGCCAGCTCTGGTGGAGTTAGGAGTCCAGTGATGTCAGGAAAAGGCAAGATCCCGGCCTTGCGGACCGAGGTCTGGACCCTGAAACATCACTGGTGTCCAGAGAGCTTTGGGGGTACTATGCCGAGGCTGGGGACTGGGGCTGGAGTGACTGCTGCACCCGTCACCCTCAAGCCGCCGAGAGTCTGAGGAAGGTTTTGGGGTGCAGGTGGGGGTTCTAGACGCTTGAGAAAGCCCGAACTAGGAGGCTTTGCAGAGGCTGTGGGCCCGGTGGGCAGTGACCTGGCGCCAGGGTCCAGCGAAGGGGAGGTGCGGATGGGCGGGCTCTCCAGCGTCCACCGCCCTTGGAGGCGGGACCTGGCCTCATGTCCCTCCCCTCGTCCAGAC